CTCTCTCTCTGCCCCTCCCCCGTTCATGCTCTGTCTCTCTCTGTCCCAAAAATAAATAAATAAACGTTAAAAAAAAAAAAAAAAAGAGACAGAGATAGAGCACAGGCAGGGGAGGGGCAGAGAGAGGGGGAGACACAGAATCCGAAGCAGGCTCCAGACTCCAAGCTGTCAGCACAGAGCCCGACACGGGGCTCAAACTCGGGAATGGTGAGATCATGACCTGAGCCTAAGTTGAACACTTAACCAGCTGAGCCACTCAGGCGCCTCTGCGTAACTTTTATTTTTTATATTTATTTATTTTGGGGGAGGAGGGGCAGAGAGAGGGGGAGACACAGAATCTGAAGCAGGTTCCAAGCTCTGAGCTGTCAGCACAGAGCCCAACATAGGGCTTGCACCCACTTACAGTGAGATCATGACCTGAGCCGAAGTTGGACACTTAACCAACTGAGCCACCCAGGCACCCCAAAATACACGTAACTCTAGTAATTAGAAAAAAATTTCAGGACTTCGGATAATTACTAGATCAACCTCACTGGGCCCGGTTTGAGCTAACATGAGTGCATTCTAAAGCATGAGGCCAGGGATGGTTCCAACACGCTAGTTTGATGCTGATTCATTGGAGCCAAAACACACAGAAAGCAAGAACTCCTTGTCTCTGTTAAGAACCCGGGGGCAGGGGTAGGAATCCTGGCCCTGCCTCTGATGAGCCACACTGGCAGCTCAGCAAGAGCCTGTTCCCCTTCCCTCTCTCGTCTCCCTCTCCCTCCCCCTTTTCCTCTCTCCCTCTTTCTCCCCCTCCCTCTCTCTGTCTCACTCTCTCCCTCCCTCTTGTCTTCTCTCCATCTCCCTCTCCCTCTCTCCCTTTCCCTCCCTCTCCTTTTCTCTTTCTCTCCCTTCCCCCCTCTCCCTCCCTTGCCCTCTCTCCTCCCCCTCTCCCTCCCCATCCCTCTGTCCTCCCCCTCCCTCTCCCTCACTCCCTCTCCCTCCATCTCGTGATCTCACAATCTCACCCACTCTCTCACACACACACACACACACACACACACACACACACACACATGCACACTCACCTGCTCAAGCTCCTCATCTTCAGATGCTCCATCACAAAGGCAGCCCCTCCTCCCGGCAGGTCAATCACCTTGATTGGCCGTGGTACCCGAACCAGGCCTGTGGCCTGGAGGGCCTCCAGGCTGGCCATCTCTCCCTGGAACATCTGCCGGGCCTGCATCCAGAACACTGCCATGAGCTCCGAGGGGCCCCTGCAGCCCTGGACAGAAGCCACCACGTGGGGTCACAAGCACCCAGGACCTACAGTTACTGAAAGCTAGCTGGAGAGCAAGACATCAGCCCCTCAGAGAATGGGGTGTAACATGGCCCCCTTCGGATAGAAATGGGCTCCAAGGGTGAGGCTGTGCCTGGGGCTTGGGGCGGACAGAATGCTGGTGCCCCTGCCCTGGGTGCTTGCTCCCAGAGGTGAGGAAGCACAGGTGCAGGGGAGGTTCTGGAGGTGCTGGGGTTGCTACTGGGGGCCAGGGTGTGCTGTGGCATCACAGTGGGAGTGTCGGGGGTGCTGTGGAGGTACAGTGGGAGTGTCGGGGGTGCCCGGGGTCATGGTGGGAATGTCAGGGATGCCCGGGGGTACGATGGGAATATCGGGGTGCCCGGGGAGTACAGTGGGAGTGTCAGGGGTGCTGCGGGGGCACAGTGTGAGTTTCGGGGTGCCTGGGGGCACGCTGGGAGTGTTGGGAGTGTGTGAGAGCATGGTGGGAATGTTGGGGTGCCTGGGGATATGGTGGAAGTATCGGGGTACAGGGGGCATGCTGGGAGTGTCAGGGGTGCCTGGGGGTACAGTGGGAGTGACACGAGTGCTGTGAGGGTACAGTAGGAATGCTGGGGGTGTCTGGGGGGTACAGTGGGAGTGTTGGAGGTGCTATGGAGGTACAGTGGGAGTGTCGGGGGTGCCTGGGGGTATGGTGGGAGTATCGGGGTGCCTGGGGGCACGGTGGGGGTGTCAGGGGTGTTTGGGACACGGTGGGAGTGTCGGGGGTGCGTGGGGAGTACAGTGGGAGTGTTGGGGTGACTGGGGAGTACAGTAGGAGTGTTGGGGGGGGCTGTAGGGGCATGGTGGGAGTGTCGGGGGGCCAGGGGGTACGGTGGGAGTGTTGGGGGTGCCTGGGGGCACAGTGGGGTACTGCAGGATGCTGCCACGTGCCACAGAGGTTGTAAGGTAACTCAGGGGACTGTGGGGGTGCTGCAGAGGGTCTGGGTGGTGCTGTGAGATGCAGTGGGGTGCTAGGAGTTATCTGTAGGGTGCCTTGGAGTGTGGATCAGTGGAGCGTCTGGAGCCGGGCATGGGTGCCCTTCCAAGTTTCCTGCCCACCTCACTGCCTCCAGCGATCACAGGAGAGGAGGAACCGCAAGGGTGGGGTGGCATGCCAAAGGGACTGGGACACACATTTTGGGCAAGAATTCGGGGCAGAGAGGTCAGCTGGGCCTGGCTTGTGGCTTGGGTCCAGGGCCTCTCCCCAGAGATAAGCACCCAGCGGGGCCTGGGGGGGGGGGGGCGGGAAGGAGGCTCACACCCCACCCAGGAAGAAGACAGGCCGCCCCAGGAGCAGCAGAACAGCCTCCATTGGGACCCAAGGGCTGTCCTACTTCTAGAATATTTCCCACAAGTACCCCAATTTTAAACGAGGTGAACACTCACCCCGGGTACGCGACAGAAAGCATGCTTCTGAACACCTCTGCCTATAGAATTATTCCTCATGAGGCCAAAGCATCTAATGCCACGCAGGAAAAGAACCCCATCCTTCAATTCAAAGTCTCTGAGGGGAAAACGAGGCAAGGCATCCTCCAAACTGCCAGCCCAGCCCTGGAATTGTGAAGCAGGGGTTGCTAGCGCCCCGCAGGGGGCATCCAGCAGTCCCCAAACATACAGGGGCAGGGAATACCTGGGCTGCATTCTGCCCGTGTCCTGAGGGCCTCACCTGTCACCTGCTCACCTACTGTGTGCCAGCACCGAGGGTTTCAAGGGCAAATGGAGAAGCTTTCAGTAGGAGGGTTCCAGACCCCACATGAGCCCTGAGCCCAAAACTGCTTCCCGGTACATGGGGCTTATTTTGAGAGCGATTGGTTCTGAAACGAAATTCCCTAACAATTCCCTCCCTGTGCTAGCAGAGCCGGGCTGCTGGACCAATCCCGACCTCTCACCCATCCCAGGTGGGCCCTGCTGCAGGGGGGCTGGGAGGATTCCTTCCACCCACAGCCCCTACCCCCACCACCACTGCTGCACCTCAAAAGGGCCTGGCCCACAGAGCACTGGGGGCCTCAGTGAAGGCGCCCACTAGGGCCAAGGGAGTGCCATCCTTAGCATCTGGAGGCACTAACTACGGCCAACATTCTCCATTTGTAAAGTGTCACTATTTTCCATATACAGTCTATTTAACAGCAACACTTTAAGCAGGCACTAACCAGGCCCAACACAAGCACAGGCCCCTGAGCAGACAGCATGAGCCTCCCGCTCGGTCCCTCACCGAGTCTTGGCCTCCTTTCTGCCTCCTCCCACCTGTTGAGCTGGACCCACGGGCTGTGGAAGAGGGAACCCAGAGCTGGGACCCAGGGTAGAGGCAGAAGCATCCCAGGACTCCAAGCCTCACCTCCCCCATTCTTGATGGTAGAGAAATTAAAACCAACACTCCTGCGCCTCCAGGCACAGGATTATTAATCCTGCAGCTGACAAAACCCTGGGTCCCGCAGAAAACGCTTGAGTCCTCCTTGCCGGCAGGTGCCAGCTCCTGACCCCCCGCAGTGACGCCAGGCCGCACCTGCTCCCCTCCACCCCCCACCCCTTCCCCTCTCCAGGCTCCAGCTCAGGCCGCGGGGGAGGGGGTTTCTGGGGGGCCGCACCTGCGTCCGGTGGTTGACCTTGACGAAAACGGGGCCCGCATCCGTGTCGTAGGCTCGTCCCTCACTGATGCAGCCGGCCCCGGGGCTCCCGAAGGCCCGCAGGGTCGCGGTGCGCAGCTCGGCTCGCAGCAGCTGCTCCATGGGGCGGGGGGGACTCGGGCCGGGGAGGCACGGGGACGGCGCAGACGCCAGCCGGGGCGGAGCTCGCTCTCCGCGGGGGGCGGCGCCGGGTCCTCGCGGCCTGCTGGCTCCGGGCTGTCCAACCCTTGCGCGCGGGTGGCGGGTGCGGTCAGGTCCGCGCGAGCGGTGGGGGAACGGACCCAGCCTGAGGGCGAGGGCAGACAGAGAGCTTCCGGAGGGGGACAGAAGTGGGGGCGGTGCCCCTCTGCATGTGTCCACACAGTCAGGGTGCCCCGACAATCCGGGGTGCGGCTCACCCTGTAGAGCCTGACACCCCCACCCGCTACCCCCCCCACCCCAGGCCAGAGGTTCCAGGAGCCCTCGCTGGCCCTCTGCCCAGGCCTCAGCAGGACTTAGAGGACATAGTCTAGGGTAGAGCCCACTGTCCCTGGGACCCAGGTCACAGGTCACAGTCCTGGCTAGGTCTCACACTGTCCAAACAAGACTAGGGGTCTTGACCACATCCTATCCAGCTCCAGGCACTACCCAGCAACACTCGTTGCTCGTGTTGGGCTTGTTCATCAGGGCACCTGGTGGCCATCAGAGATAGAGACTGCTCTGGGGGTTCTGATAATGTGGCCAACCCCACCCAGAACCCGAGCCCTGTTAAGAGACCTGCTGCCCCGGAGAGGGAACTTCAAAACACACGTGGCCATGTGCACACAGGCACGCACACACCTATGCACACGCATACACAAGGTCATTGCAGAAGAGCAGGGGGTGGGAGAGATTGTGTGGCCATCTTGGGAAAAGCATCTGCCCCTCCACCTCTCCCTCCTCCTAGCTTTTTTCTCTGAGTTGGTGAAGCCCTTCCCATTGCATCTTGAAGCAGGATTCCTGTAGATTTGGGCTCTTGCACATCTGTCTGCAAATGTCTTTATTCTCGACTGATAGTTTGGCAGGGTATGGAATTCCAGGCTGGATATGAGGTCCTGTTCTTTCACAACGGAGAAGCTCCTGCTCTAGCGCTTTCCAGCTCATTTGGTGTTGAGAAATTTGAAGCTATTTTGATTGTTGTAAAGCCATTTTGATTCTGTTTGTGTGGAAACTGTTCTCTGGAGGCTTTTAGGGTCTTCTCTGTGTCACCAATATCTGACAATTTCCCAGGGAGGTGGTTGGGGTGAGTTTCCTGCCATCCCCAAGGCAGGACACATGAGCTGTTTCAGGATGGACACTCTCTGAGGTTGTCTTCAGCTCTTTATGATTCCCTCCCTGTTTCCTCTGTTCTCTTTTCCAGAATTACAAATATTTGCTCTAAAGTTGGTCCCCAAACTGCCAGGGTTAGGCACCCGTGAGCCTCCAGGCACCCTGGGGGAGATGCTTATTGCACGCCACAGGCATGGTTTGCCCAAGCAGGGTCTGAACGTGGCAGGTGGCAGCGGCACACATCTTACTGTCCCCGAAACCCAGGCACTTGGGGTCCCTCCCCAGACCTCCCAGCTCCTGTCTGAGCAACCGAATCCTCAGTGAGAAGACACATGCCAAGGAGAGTACTTTGACTTTGCAAACTGGTCTCACCCTCCTCTCAAAGCCGCATTTGACTTTGGGTTTGGTCAGAAGCTCAGTAGGGAGATGTGACTCGGGTACGTGCAAACGGCCCCAGGAGCTGAGTCCCCTTTCTCCCTATAGCCAGTCTCCTGGTTCTCCTGACTCTCCAAGAACCAGAATTATGGCTGCTAAGGTGCGGAAGGCACCCAACTGGAACACAGACACAGACAACTGTGACAGTTCTTGGGGCTCAGACATGTCACGAGTCTGGATCTAGGGGGAGGACAGACTGAGGTAATGATGGGGCCGTGTGCACTGGAGGGACTCCCCTGCTTGTTCAGATCCCTCACTTGACATGGAGTCTAGTGGTACCAAGAAGGGAAACGCAGCCCACAGCTGAGTGGGGGCATTTGCAACGGTGCTCAGAAAAGGGGCACCAGGCAGGCAGCGGGGTGGGGGGGGGCCCCCGGGGTGTCCCAAGCCTCTGGCTGCAGCCTGAGCCAGCAGGGATGCTGTCGAGGTGTCACTGCCAGTCCCTCACCCTGGCCTCCACCAGGAACTGGGCTGGGGCCATGCCCTCAGGAAGAGGAGTGTTTGCAGAAAGGAAGCGGTTCTGCCACCTCCTGAGAACTCAGATATCTGCAATCACTCTGATTGCGGCTTCCAAACATATTCCAGCACAGCCACATACTTCTGCCCAGGAGGAAACCGAGGCAGAGAGGCTAGTCTCACACAATATGTCTTTGGAAGCAAATTTCACTGGGAGAACAGGGAGGACAGAGAAAGTGTCCCCGCAAGAGGGGAGACACGCACCGCGTACAGGCAGGCACTCCGGCCGGGAAGCTCAGCGGGGCGGCCGGGGGGGTGTCATTATCAGCCCCCTTTATGAAGGAGGGATCCAGACCTCAGGTGACTCACCTAGGAGCCCCCCGTGCTGGCCCTCAACTCCAAGCGCAGTGTGGTTCCCGTCATGCCAGAGGTGGAGGGCCCAGAGTCTTCCAAGAGGACCTTTCCAGTTCCCAACCCTACACTAGGACTGTCCAGGGACACGTGAGTCAGTCTGGAACGAAGTGCCACCCTCTGCCAGGGCTGCGTGCACTGCTCTGCAGCAACTTGAACTTCTTTCCAAACTTGCCTTTTCCGCCCTTATTTTGGCTGTGATTCCGGTTCCCTCTGAATCCCAGAGTGAGCCAAATACCCCCCATAACATACCTCTGGTTTACAGGTGTCCCTCCAGCACCGCCCTGCAGAGTAAACAGGAAGCCCCCACAGCCGCCTGGACCCACAGACATGGGGCAGCCCAGGGTCAGACCCTTGTCCATAGCGGTCCCCTCCCGTCTGCCCCCCACCCCCTGCCACCGCCAGCAGTTGGAGCCTAGAATAAACCTAAAAGAGGTCCCCATCCCAGCGGCCTGTGTGGGAACAAAATGGCAGCCCCCACGCTGCGGGGTTTGTCTTGTTTATCCAGAGCTTTAGGATGGTGGTCTGGGCAGCCAGTCCTGGTAACTCAGTCCACAGTTGTAGTTCCAGTGAGATCTAAACAACGTTTCACACCACCTACTTATGACCCAAATACAAATGAGAAAAGGAGTTTATAGAACATGCAGAAAGCAGGACTGGTCATTCCTCCGGAATGTTTGGAGCATCCCCTACACCTGGCCTGTACAGCTGGCATCTTTGATGCCCATGTTCCTCTAGAGGGTGATGCTCACTTGTCCTCTCTCTTGAAGGAAGGACTGGCACAGAGAAGTGAGTGGTTGAAGAAGAAGGTGACATCACAATTGTCAGTCCGGAAGATAAGAGAACATGATCCAAATTTCAAAATAAAGGACTTCCCTGAAAAAGCTAAGGATATTTTTATTGAAGCCCACTTTTGTCTAAACAACTCAGACCATGACTGACTTCATACCTTGGACATGGTCGGGCACATCAGATATAAGAACGTCCACCGGAGCTTCATGGAGTCTTTAGAACCACCTCAGGTGGTTCAGGTTCACTGTTCAAGTCTGATGAACCAGGGCAACATACATGGCCAGCTCACCATCTGCACGCACACCCAGCAGACTCTGGCCATCTATGACCAGTTTGGCTGGTTGATGTATGGACAGGAAGGTGTGCCCAGGGATGTGCTGGAGTATGTTGTGTTTGAAAAGCACCTGGTAAATCCCTATGGGAGCTAGAGAATGCATGGCAAGGGTCATGCCCCCATGGGCACCCCCTAAGCAGCCCATCCTTAAGATGGTGATGATCCCTGGGCCCCAGCTGAAACCCGAAGACTGTGAGGAGCCACAAGGAGAGGCCCAAAACTTCAGCAACCCTGATGGCAAAAATGACTCCTGGGGTGAAACGTGGCTGATGGCATGGCCAGAAGCTGTGGAGTCTGGGAATGTGCAGTCAGTCATCTCTTCATCATGCTGTAGAAAGATCTACCTTTGTCCTCTCCTGTCCTGCTTGGGTGTTTTCAGCTGTCTCCTTGGCAACCACGGCTGATGGCTGGGCCCAGGTGGGTGGCTGATATGCACAGCCACGAACCTTCTTCTTCCTTTTTAAACTGTGTGTCTAGCAGCTGAGTCTCAACATGAGTATGTTTGGATACCTGTTTTTCCTGCAGCAGAGATCATCAGGAAGAGACTGGCAGAATTTTCTTTTTAATTACAAGGCAGGGATCAGAATTTGAAATAAAACACTGTCAGGGTGTTGGACAAAAGAAAAAAAGAATAAACCTAAAAGAGCTCTCAAAACCCAAGCCCTGGAGACACACACTTGATTCCACTGGTTATAGGATCTCCTGGCGCTTCAGTTAGACTTGACAGACGGAAAGTGAACAGGATGTGGGGACAAAGGGAGATGAATGCCTGAGGCACATGAAATCATAGTGATGATAAACTGAGGAGGGGGTCACTCAGCCCCTGCACTCAAGATCCTGTGAAGGGTGAACCCTGCGAGGGCACAGCCAGGTGTGGCCCCTGGATGTGGAAACGCAGCCTGAAACCTTATCGGTGCGGATGGTGCTGTGGGGACTCTGGCTGTGCACTGGCATCCTGGTTCATCTAGACACCAAGGTCTCAGCCCCGCTCTCGTCAAAAGGATGCACAAAAGCTTTGGGGCAGGAGGTAAAGATCAGCTTCCTGAGGTCTCTTTGGCGGACAGGCCCACAGGGCAGACCATGAGGCATTCCGACACAAGAGCCCATCTGAGGAAGAAGCGGGACCCCACCCCCCCCAGAGATGTGGCCCGATAGGCCGGACCTCTGGCTCTGCTGCCTCGCGGTGTCCGCCCCGCCCTGCCCTGAAGGACACGGACCTCTCTCGGCCAAGGGGTCCAGGAGCCCAGACCAGAGCTCATCCTATGGGTCTAGTGGAATCTTCCCAATAATCCGGGTGCCAGCAGGCTGCTCCACAAGGGTGGGAGGCAGGCTGCTGCTGGGACACTGTCACACAGCTGCCCTCCGAAAGCATGCCTGGAAATTAGCACTCCTCCCCTGTTTCTGCCAGCTCGACCTGCCCTGAACCCAGAAAACAGTGTGATTTCCATATTGGG